TCCTGTGAGGCTGGTGCTGTTGTCCCTGCTGTACAGATGAGGAAACTGAGGTACGGAAAGATGAGAGTCCTCATGAGCCAGCAGCAGAGCCAGGTTCGAACCGCTCTGTCCTTCCCGCAGCCTGCAGCGCCCTGCTCGCTGGTCTCTGGCTTCAGCCGCCTTCGGACCCTGGCACTTGCCTGGCTCTGGCCCCTTCTCCCCTCCCCAAAGCCGAGGAAGCTGAGCGGCTGCTCCAAGGTCATCCAGCCCGGCCGCTGAGGAGTAGTGCAGACTTGAACCCAGGCCTCTTGGCTCCAGGCCTCCCTCACCACCATGGCCAGCAGGCTGGGCCTGTTCCCTGGCTGAGTCATGCCCCTGGACTTTGGCCTCCTTGTCCCCAGCTCTGTGGCCTGAAGTTTGGAGAGGGGGCCTTTGTAAGGAAGAGGGGCTCCCCTGGAAGTGGGAGTCTCAAGCCATTGTTCCCCCTCAGAGAGTGCATGGCGACAGCAGCCCCTAGCTCCCTGCTCCCCATACATCTGTAAGCAGTCTGTAGAAATAGCTCCTCGAGCCTCAGGACAGCCCTACCTCCACAGCTCATTCTGCCCCCTCCCTAGACACACAAGACATTACATTAGAAGTGGGGTGGGGTGGGTTGGGGGCTGGGGGAGGAGGCATTTCCAGGTAGTCTGTGTGCCCGGGCAGCTTCCTCCCCAGCACTGCTCTCCCCAGGCACCCAGCCAGGCACCCAGCGGCTGGGTTGCCCAGGCGGGAAGCCACAGCACCTCCCCTTCTGGTGTCCAGGGACCAAGGTCACACCCAGAGCCCTGTGTGCCTCCACCTCCTCCTGGGGCCAGTGGTGTTTGTCACTGGGGCAACGTGTGGCTGTGCCCAGCTCTGGCAGTGCTAGGGTGACATTCATGCCCTGTGAGCTGTGACGCCTCTGCAGACAGAGGACAGCACCGCCCAGACTGGCAACAGTGATGGGGGAGGGGTGAGGTGGGCTATCACCTGTCCGAAACAGTCAGGGAGGTGACACGTCATGTACCCATCCCATCCCGCTCTCTGGAGGGAGGATTCATGGGGAAGAAGCAGCGTTGTGTCCCTGCCTCGATACTAGGTGGTAGGTGAAGGGGTCTCTGCCTTCCTCACACCTGGAAGATGGGGCTTGTCTCACGTTTTATGTGTGTATGACGAGTTCTCTGTGTATCCACATCCTGTTTTTGTGGAGGGGGTTCCCTGGTTGTGTGTTAGTTGTACTGTTGTGAGGGGTGACAACCTGTGTACCTGTCCCATACTATCTAGGGGTGTCAGATGTGCCCATCTCACGTTTTTGGGGAAGCGACAGGTTATGTGCTTAGCTCATTCTGTTAGGAGGGTTGTCACCGACTCACAGGTCTGTCTCTGTGGCTGTTGTGTGTGTGTGTGAGAGATGTCACCATGTGCCCGTCTCATGCTGTTGTGGGGAGTGACATGTGTGATTATCTCATGCTGTTGGGAAGTTGTCAGTAACTTGGGAGCTCGTCTCTCACCCTAAGAGACGACATGTTGCCCGGTGACATGGGGCTGGCAGTTGGCAGGGCCTCCCCATGCAGACCACAGAGCCCCAGAGGAAACGCTGAGGCCCTGAGCATGGGGACAAGTGTGGGCTAGGGGGTGTCAGTCCCACATAGCCTACCTTCTGACCCAGGTGCCACCCCTTGGGACCCTTTCCCAGAAGGGAGGACCCATTGTTTTTCAGATGGTGGGGAAAGGGGCCTCAGGGGCCAGAGCAGGTATGTGACTGCATAGATGGGCACCAAGCAGGGTTTGCACAAGGAGGGGCTGTGTCCCCAAGAGCCTGGGGACCCTATTCCCAGCCTCTTCTGCCCCCGAAACTGTTAAACTAATTAAGGCTGTGGAGCCGCAGGATTAATCGGGGCAGCTCGGCGCGGGCCGGGAGCTCAGGTAGTCGATTAGTGCGCCGAGGAGGATATTGGATTTCTGAACCGCAAGTCAGCACTATTCGGGCCTGTTATCTCTCCGAGGCTCGAGGGTCAGAAGGCGGGAGGCTGGGCGCCTGGCCGCCTCTGCCCGGCCAGCCCGGGCGTCACTCCCCCTGCCCGCCGCGCCACCAGCCCAGCCTGTCTGCTGCCCATGCGGGCCCACCCCAGCCCTCTCCCGGCCCACCCCGTTCTGCCATCCCTTTCTCAGACTCCCAGGAAAACATCTGGTCCCCCGTCCTCTCCCTGTGTCGCTGTGGGGCTCTCCTCCCTGGAGCCCCTCTGCCCTCTGGCTCTTCGTCTTTCCTGGCCTCTGGCTCACTCTGGGCCACCCGACACCCTCTCTTCAGCCTCTGACAGGGTCTCAACCCCTCCCTGCTTTCCTCTCCTCACTGTCTCTGTGTGTGTGTTGCCTGTCTCTCTGTTTCTGCCCGTCTCTCTCTCAAGTCTCTCTGTTTCTCTCCCTCTGTGTGTCTGTCTCCCTGTGTATCTTTCTCCCTCTTCTGTCTGTCTTTTCCTCTCTCCTTCTGGCAATCTCTCTCTCTCTCTCTCTCTCTCTCTCTCTCTCTCTCTCTCTCTTGTGTGGTCTCGGCTGGTGTCTGCAACCAGAACAAATCTCCCCCAGCCAACACCCCCTGAACAAGGAGGCCAGAGCAGCTAATGGGAAACATGTGATTCTGCCTTGCGCCTGGAGCACCGTGAAGGGAGCCTTGGTCCCAGCCCAGCCCCTGCTTCCCCCTCGCCGCATTCCCCCCACCACACTGTCCTCTGCCTCCCAGCGTCCCCCCCCAGCCCGTGTGGGCACAGTCGCAAGTTCCCCAGTCACTCACGTTTGGGGGGACTGGCATTTATCAGCTAGGGAGTATCAGGTTGTGGAGGGGCTGGGGGCAGCTTTGTTCCTTAGGTCCCCCCAGCCCCCAGGGCCAGGCAGACCCCATGCAGACTCCCCACCACCACCACCATATGTAGGAGAACAAGGCCAAGAAGAGCTGAGCTGTGGGGGCCTGGATGGGGGGCAGCCAGTCCACCCCCACTGGAGGGCCCTGGGGCCACCCAGGTTTCCATCTTTTGCTTCCTCCTGGGCCTCTAGGGAGCTGTAGAGGTGGGGGCTCCCCGAGTGCTTGGGAGCTGCTGGGCTGTGTTTCTGTGCCCACCCAACCACACGGAAAGGGGGGACGGATCAGAGGAGGGAGGCTCTGGCAGGTTGGAATTCTCCTTCTCTGCCTGTGGATAAATTGTCCCTAATCCAGGCTTGGGGAGTTGTCTGGCTCCTACAGAGAGAGGGAGAGAGAGAGAGAGAGAGAGAGAGAGAGCTTGAGGGAGGGAGGGAGGAGGGAAGCAGGCACATACAAACACAGTGACACAGACACACACACTGTCTCACAAAGGGTCTCTCATACACACACACACACACACACACACACAAGTTACAAAAAGGTACCACACAAACACTGAGGCGCTGTTGTGCTGACAGACCCATGGCACACAGACCTCATACATGTTGACACTGACACACAGCTGTACTGGCACAGACATACAATGACATAGCACAAGGACCCACTGACACACATGGAGTCACACAGCGATGTACAGACACACAATGACGAGGTCATACAAATCCACACATGCACATACTCACACACAAGCACAGACTGGCCCATGGTGAAACAGACCCACAGGGACACCGTGACCAGTCACACCGCCACACCATGACCCTGAAAACCCGGAGAAAGGCTGAGGTAGGAGGGAGCCAACACTGATCCACAGTGACCCCAGTGTCCGCAGTCACAGGCCTCAAGACTGGAAACCTGCAGGGACAGCAGAGGATCAGCCGCACGCCCCCACGCCCTGCCAAACACACATCCAGAGAGCTTTGAGACAGGCAGGAGCCGGTTTGGCTCCCGACACAGCGAGATGCAGAGAGCCAGGCGGAGCGTGTGCACTCCCAGGCACACGCACACGCCGACCGCCGGGCCCACCTTGTCACACACAGGCACATACACTCACACCTCTGTGTCCTCACAGGCTCAGCTAGACACACACACAAAGCTGGATAGAAAGAAATGGGAATAGTGCACATACCCACACATACAACCGAAAACGCTGACACCAGCACACACTCAGCCTGGCATCCTACGTACACACACCCTGCTGACCACACCAGCCTCCACCGAGCAAACATCTAACCCCATATGTGTACACTCTTTATGTATGAACCCAGACAGACATACAGAGAGGCATACAGACAGGCTACATGGATCCGGGAACCCACATAGAAGTGTATTTACGCAGATAGCCAAACATTCAGGCATGCATTTATACAGGCAGAATCTCTGTCACACACATGCCAATTCCCAGGCAACCAGAACCTCTGAGCAGTCCATGAGGCCTGGTTCCCAGAGCCCCTCTGGGCTCCAGCACAGACCTCAGGGAGGCAGACACGTGGGCAGGAAGCAGGGAGGTGGTGAGGAGGGCCGTGGGTATTAAAGAAAACAAAGAGACATAACCAGTGCTGCTGGAGACAGGTAAACGCCAGCTGTGCATACGCCCTCGTGGAACCTGCATCCACCATCACTCCACTCCTAACAGCAACTCTCACACCTGCATCGCAAACAAGCTCTTGGCATGATAGCTTCCCCAGAGTGCTCCTCCCATTCTCGGGATCTTATTCTTCCCATATTATAGATGAGAAAACTAAAAACCAGATTGGTTAACTGACTCGCCCAAGGTCACGCAGTTAGTGAGTGTTAAGCCAAGGACTCTGACTCCCAAAGGCCAGTTTCCTTCCACTGAAGCGTATGTGCGTGTGTATGCGTGTGTGTACCTAGATGAACAAAAAACATTGCTTCCCAGTAGAGCCTGAGGTTTCAAGAGACAGGCTCACAGCTCCCCAATGGGATGAGGTTGGAGCTCGATTGGACCCCATCTAGGACAGCCTCCTGGCTCAGTGTCCCTCGGCACCCTGCCCTCTGGCTGGCTCACCTTGTGTCAGTGCTTACGCCTGGGGTACTGTGTTTGCTTCCACAGATGGGCGCTTGCCTGATTGTCTACCCATCGGCCTGGACCCCAGAGCCCACCCAGCTGATCAGAGGGCCCCCGGTGCGGGGCAACGCTTGGGCTGCTGCAGAGACCACCCTGGAGACGCTGGTGAAGACAGGTCTTTCCTGCTAAGCCGGGCCTGTCTGCACGGCCTGCTCAGGTAACAGTGTGCAGGGCAGCCAGGCCTGGGCCTGGTCCATCCCCAGGATGTGGGGATCAGGGGAACTTGCCTCCCAGTCCCAGCAGCAATCCCCTCCCAGCTTAGGCCAAAAAGAGGTCCTTTACAGAATCCAAAGATACTAACCCAGCTTACTCAAACTCCCCATTATCCAGAAAGGGGAACTGAGGCTCATGGATATTCAGTGAGTCCTACCTCCTAGCCCGAGGACTCTTCCCCACGCCTTGATGACCTGGGAGGAGAAAGGGGTTGTGACAGTGACCAGGACTCAGGGCAGAGGTGGAAACCAGAGTGCCTGATGTGTGCAGCTGCTGCTCCTCCAGGACACCTCTCTACTGGAGTCTGACGAAGCAGAGAGCTGGGAGGCCAAGGTGAGGTGCTGGGAGGGCCTGGGTAGCCCAGCTGTGCTAGGGTACCCTCACAGGATAGGGAGGCGGGCAGTGGCAGTGGCAGGACCTGCCTCCCTTCTCCTGGCCCAGGTTAGCCCACCCAGGCTCAGGAGCTGCAGAGCCAGGTGAGGCTGCCCTGCCCTGCAAAGGCAACTCCCTGAACTGACACATGAAGCCTGGGGCTCCAGGAAGCTCCCTAGAGCCTGGCCTGCCTGGGGACCCCACCCAGCTTCCAAAGGAGCATTCCTGGGGCCTGAGGTCTGGGGGTGGGGCCTCCTGGGATTGTAAGGGTGGGGAGGTACAGCTGTGGGAGGATGCAAGGCTGTGTGTACCCAACTATAAATGTGTGGGGCACTCAGGCTTGTGTGCAAGCAGGTGTGCGGCAGGACTCTGTCCTGGGTGCACAGGGTTGTCTATACGAGAGTTATGTAAGTGGGCTGGGGGGTGTTCGAGGCCATGTATGTGGAACATTGGAGTAGTGAGTGTGCAAGATTCAGGGTGTTACTGGGCACGTGTGGGAATACTGGGGGGCGGTGTTCGCCACACTGTGTGGTATGTGTGCAGGGTGCTAGTGTACACTGGAGAGATGTGTGTATAGACAAGATCTGAATACCCTGGGAGGTATGGTGTGTGCACAGGGATCTGCATGTACACTGGAGGAGTGTGTGTTCGGGGTTCTGGGTGCACAGTGGGGGTGGTGCGTGCACATGGCTCCATTTGTGCTTTGGAGGTGGGCTGGGCGAGCCTCGAGCTGAGCTGGGCTCAGCAGTGCCCAGCCTTGTGGCCAAATCGCTGAAGTCACTTCCTTTCCAGCAGCAACTTTCCAGGAGGAGGAGTTCTTCAGACCTGGGCGGGGAGGGGGGGCGGAACAAGGAGCTCTCAGGGGAAGGAGGTAGGCGGGGGTGTGAGGCTGGGGGGAGGGCCTGGTGGGGCTGGAGGAGGGGAGTCCTCCGGGAGACAGAAGGAAAGACAAGGACAGGAGTCTGGAAGGGCCAAGGGCAGGAGGGGATGGGGGCGGAGCAGGGCGGGAAGCACAGTCCCTGGGTGACCTCAGAGGGAGGAAGGGAGGGCTGCCGGCAGGGTGACCCTCGGGTCCAGCCGGAGCTGGCAGTGGCGCCCGCACACCTGGCACCCAGGGCAGGGGGCTGGCAGGGGGCGGTTCTGGGGCAGACCTGCTTGCCAGGTGCCCTGCTCTGGGCAGGAAGGGGGTGGGCGAGGGCTGCACAAAGGAGCTCTGTGTGGCTGGGGGTAGGGTGGGGTGGGTGGGGTGTGCTGTGCTGTGCTGTGGGGGGGCCCCCCTGGCCCTGGGGGGGAAGGGGGCGGGGCAGGGCCAGCTCCCCTTGGGGGCATTGGTGGCTCCAAGGGGACACCTAGTGGTGAGGGAGAGTAGTGCATCTGGATGGCTGGTGGGAGGTGGTGGCTAGAAGATGAGAAGAGGATAGATTGGAAGTCAAAAATTAGAACTAATGGTTGGGATTAGGACAGTTGGAGGAGACTGCATGGGAGGGGACTGAATCTCTGGTCAGTGAAGCATTTTGGTATAAAGGAGCCCAACAAACCTAAATTCAGACTAGCTGAATTGAATGATATGACTGTTTGTCCTTAAGGGCATAACTTAACCTCTCTGTGCCTCCAATAAATGCCAAATGAGTGACAACTGCCGTTATTATTTCCATCATTGTTATTTTTGTTATGATTTGGGGCTGGAATCAGGTTGGAAGAAGATCTGCAGGTACAGCAGAGTGGGCTGGAGGGAAGGAGATTGAGGGGGCAATGACTAGTCCCTGGGGGGGCAGGTCCTAGGAGATAAGGCCCCAGGAGGAGAAGGGAGGTGATGGGGAAGGTCTCAGAGCACCAGTAACAGCCCCTTTGATGCAGTGTTTTCCATTTGAGGATATCCCTGGGCCTTCAAGCCAGCCTGGGAGGGAAATGGGGGGAGGAGTGCTCAGGCTGGAGAAAGGGTCATGGGGCCGGAAGTGAGAGCTGGGGCTGGCAGCCTGGCTCCCCTGGGGAGGCTGTGGGTGGGGGAGGGGGAGGAGGGCTGGGGAAGGGGTGGGGTGGTCACAGCCACAGCGGCAGAGGGTGGGGCTGGGGACTCAAGGATGTGGGCTGGCGCTTCCCAGCACTGTGCACAGCAGGTTGGGGCCCCGGCCCCCTCCCAACCAGCTGGTGTCCCCATGGGCCAGCTTAGACACACTGACCCAGAAGCAGACAGGCAGACAGAAGGACCCTTTTAACTTTGTTCACAGACCAGGGCTAGGTGGTACCCCTGGGAGGGGGCCAGGAGAATGGCTGCCGGGCGTGGTGGGGAGGGAGCCAGCTGCTTCCCTCAGATGCTGGAGGCTGCAGAGACAGCAGTGGACAGAGTCAGGAGGCCTGGCGGGAGGAGGACATGCCCAAAGGTCTTCACGGGTGGGTGGAACAGAAGTCACCACCAGAGAAGGAGGTTTTTCTTTTCTGCCAAGATCACACCCTCAGGCCCCAAGTGGGAGGTCTCCAGAGCAGGGAAGGCTTGGCAAGCCTGGCCCTTGGTGAGGGAGAGATAGTGGCTTCTGGTAAGCATCTCAGAGACGGCATCAGGAGCCATGGCCAGCCGTACTCTCGGGAATGGGACTTGGAGAGTCTGGAGTCTGCTCCCCTTGCCTCCCAGCAGGAGCAGCCGTGCTCCAAGTTCTTGAAGTAGAGACCTGACCTGGGAAGGGCCAGGTCCACAGCCAGGCATGGGAGAGAGCAGGGCCCTGAGTGAGCCTACAGGTGGGACCTGCAGAAAGGGGAAGGGCAGGGGACAGAGGGACATTCCACCTGGATAAGCAAAAACAGGGCCCTTCCTGTGCCATTTTGTGGCCTCAGACAAAGTCTCTTTCTGTCTTTAGGTCTCAGTTTCCTCATCTCTAAAATGGGAGGAGCATGAGATGGCACTAGAAAGTGTACCCACTGGGGTAGCTGATTAAAAATACAGATTCCCAGATGTCCCTCCAGATCTATGAGTCAGTATCCCCTGGACTAGGGCCTGGGTATCTGGAATGTTACAAAGCTCCCCCAGGCCCAGGGTTTGGAAGCCAATGGGTTAGATAATTTTAAGGTTCCTCCCAGCCTTAAATTAGACCACAGCACTAAAAGGAGCATTTTCAGAAGTAGCTGAAGGAAAATTGCAGGAGCTGGGAGTGGAAGGAGGCTTTGGACTTAGGGCAGAATTAGGAATCCTGCCACTTAACAGCTATGTGACTTCAGGCAAGTTACACAACCACTCTGGGCCTGTTTCCTCTGTAACAGGGGCCTAGTAAACAGTGCCTCCCGGGTTGCAGTGAAGATTCAGTGGCTCATGTATGTGAAGGTGCTTTATAGATTGCAAATCGCTGCCCACCAAAGGGGAGCAAAGGAACGTCCCTTTCCACTCTATTTCTGTCCTCTGCAGTCTTCCTGTGGGGTGACAGCACTGGGCTGTATGGCAGCCAGTGAGAGTCTGCATGTGTCCTTGGGGGGTGGGCTCTGGGGACTGACCACTAGGTCAGGGCCAAACACTAGGCAGTGATCGGGGTCAGCCTTCAAGACGTTCACAGGGTTGGGGCCCATTCAGCTCCCTGTTCCCTGAGATCCCAGCTCCTGGGGATCGGCCACGGCCCTGAGTCCCCAGGCTCCCCTGGGAGTCAGACATGCCTGGATCTAAATCCCAGCTCTCCCCTGACCAGCTCAGGGAGTCCGTTGGTAAATATTTACCTAGCATCCACAGCCCAGGCCCTGGGGTCAGAAGTTACAGCAGTAAACAAGGCAGACATGATCCTGGCCCCTGAAGAGCCCATACTCTTGGGGGAGATGCACTAAACAGCCAGTCACACAAGTAATTGATTACAGTTGTGATACATACCATGAAGGTGAAATAGATAGGACTCTAAGAGTATGTAGCTTGAGAGCAGTGGTGTGATCATAGCTCACAGCAGCCTCAAACTCCTGGGCTCGAGCGATCCTCCCGCCTCAGCCTCCCAAGTAGCTGGGACCACAAGTGCGCAACACCACGCCCGGCTGACTTTTTTTATTTTTGTAGAGACAGGGTCTCACTATGTTGCCCACACTGGTCTCAAACTCCTGGCCTCAAGCAGTCCTCCCGCCTCAGCCTCCCAGAGTGCTAGGATTGCAGGCGTGAGCCACTGTGCCCAGCCAATGTCTCTTTCCACATTCTTGTCTCTCTCCCTCCTTCAGTATCCTTCTTGGGTCTGAAGAAGAAAAAAGAGCCTCATGGGAAAAGGCAGGTTGATGGCTCTGTGTGCCTCATTCATTCATTCAACAAATAGTTTTTGAAACACTGCTGTGTGCCATCTGCAGTTCTGGGTGTTGGGAGATACATACAGCAGTGAACAGGACAGATACCCTTGCCCTCGCGGTGCTTACCACCTTCGAGTGGATGGTCTCTGTAGAAATGGGGAGGATAATCCTATTGGTCTCAGGTTAGGGGGGATTAGATGAGATAATCCATATAAAGTGCTTGGCCCAGTGTTTGGCAACAGAGAATGTATCCCCAAAGTATGGACTTTTATTTTTGTTGCCTCCCCGGTACGACTGTTAAACCTCTGACCGTAAGCACTCTCACTTTTCCTTTGCAGCTGTTATCCCACTAATAATTACATCATTTAGAAAGATTTGACCAATGTCTGTCTACCCAGTCCTTGTGCAAAGTAGGCACTCCATAAATAATGAGTGTGTGAATGAATGATGTTACTTTATCTCTGCGCCTCCATTTCTTCATCTGCAAAATGGGGTTATTAACAGCCCCTACCTCACAGGATTGGTATGAAGAATTAAGTGAAACGATGCCTGGACAGCTTCCCGCCCAGTGCCTGGCGCGCAGTAGGTGCTCACTAAACCTGAGCTGCGATGGTCCTTTCCAGGCGCTGTCCACGCCCCGAGGCCTGGGCTCAGGCCGAAGTTGCTCCACAGCACCCGCAGCTGACAGTCAGCAACTGGCAGAGCCCCCAGGCACGGGGGCCCTCTCCCTCCCAGGTCAGCCGGGTGTTTGCACTGGAGGGGGCTGGGGTGGTACCTGGAGGAGGCTGGGCCGGTGAGCAGGGGTTGAGCTGTGGCCACCAGACCATTTGGGGAATTCAGATCTGTTGCCTATCTTGTTGCCCACAGAGATTTCCAGTGTGACAGCCCAGGCGGCAGAGCCGAGGGTGAGTGGCCGTGGTTCTCCTGGAGCCCCGGGTGTGGGGGCAAGACGGAGGGAGGCCATGCCCTTGATGGGACTTCCTGGCTCTCTCCTTGGTCTGATCTGGAGTAGTCACCTTGCCTGGGGACGAGTTTCCCTCTCAAAGGCAGGGGTCCCGTTCTCCGTGAGCACATAGCCAGGTGCTAGAAGGGGGTGGGCTGTCAGTAAGTGCAGCGTCCCGCGAGGGGTTCATTGTGCATGTGGTGGTTCGGGAAAGGCTGGGAGTCAGCAAGGGGATTGGGCTTGGACGGGGCTGGAGTTGGTACACGGGAGGAGACCTTGGGGGTGTCCAGGAGCTCATTGAGGTTGTGGGAGCTGGTGAGGACTTGGGCGTGCAGTGAGGAAGCTCCTGCCTGTCCCACCCGGCAGGTCCTGGTCCCGGCTTCTCGCACCCTCATGTCAGCCCCGGCCCCGCCCGGTGGCCCGCGGAGGACAAGGTCAGGATGCGTGTGAAGCCCCAGGGCCTGGTGGTGACTTCCAGTGCCGTGTGCAGCTCTCCTGACTACCTCCGGGAGCCCAAGTACTACCCCGGCGGCCCCCCCACCCCCCGGCCCTTGCTTCCTACCCGGCCCCCCGCCAGCCCACCTGACAAGGCCTTCTCCACCCACACCTTCTCCGAGAACCCACGTCCGCCCCCACGCCGGGACCCCAGCACCCGGCGCCCACCAGTCCTTGCCAAGGGGGACGACCCGCTGCCCCCACGGGCAGCCCGTCCTGTCTCACAGGCCCACTGCCCCACACCGGCCGGAGACGGCAGCAGCTCCCGACGCCACTGGGACAACGGGCGGGTGAACCTGCGTCCAGTGGTGCAGCTGATAGACATCATGAAGGACCTGACACGGCTCTCCCAGGACCTGCAGCACAGTGGTGTGCACCTGGACTGTGGCAGGCTCCGGCTCAGCCGCCCGCCCGCCCCACCGCCCGGCGACCTACAGTACAGCTTCTTCTCTTCACCCAGCCTGGCCAACAGCATCCGCAGCCCTGAGGAGCGGGCCACCCCCCATGCCAAGTCAGAGCGGCCCAGCCACCCCCTCTACGAGCCTGAGCCTGAGCCTAGGGACAGTCCCCAGCCTGGCCAAGGCCACAGTCCTGGAGCCACGGCCGCGGCCACTGGTCTGCCCCCAGAGCCTGAACCAGATGGCCCTGACTACTCAGAACTCGCTGATGCCGACATCCTCAGTGAGCTGGCCTCCCTTACTTGCCCTGAGGCCCAGCTGCTAGAGGCCCAGGCCCTCGAGCCACCGTCACCTGAGCCGGAGCCTCAGCTCCTGGACCCTCAGCCCCGCTTCCTGGACCCACAGGCACTAGAGCCGCTCGGGGAAGCTTTGGAGCTGCCACCCCTGCAGCCTCTTGCTGATCCTCTGGGGCTGCCTGGCCTGGCCCTCCAGGGCCTGGATTCCCTGCCTGACTCCCTGGAGTCACAGCTGCTTGACCCCCAGGCACTTGACCCCCTACCCAAGTTGCTTGACGTCCCAGGTCGCCGTCTAGAGCCCCAACAGCCCCTGGGGCACTGCCCACTGGCCGAGCCCTTGCGCCTGGACTTGTGCTCACCCCATGGCCCCCCTGGGCCCGAGGGTCACCCCAAGTATGCCTTGCGGCGCACTGATAGGCCAAAGATCCTGTGTCGCCGGCGGAAAGCCGGACGAGGGCGTAAGGCAGATGCCGGACCCGAGGGCCGCCTGCTGCCCCTGCCTATGCCCACAGGGCTGGTGGCTGCCCTGGCTGAGCCCCCACCGCCGCCACCTCCACCACCTCCTGCCCTACCAGGCCCAGGCCCAGTCCCAGAGCTGGAGCCAGAATCTTCCCAGACCCCAGTGGTCCCTACCCGCAAAGGCAAGTGCCGGGGCGTGCGGCGCATGGTGGTGAAGATGGCGAAGATCCCTGTGTCGCTGGGGCGGCGGAACAAGACCACATACAAAGTGTCATCCTTGAGCAGCAGCCTGAGTGTGGAGGGCAAGGAACTGGGCCTGCGCGTGTCGGCAGAGCCCACCCCGCTGCTGAAGATGAAGAACAACGGGCGGAATGTGGTGGTGGTCTTCCCGCCTGGTGAGATGCCCATTATTCTCAAGCGTAAGCGCGGTCGCCCTCCTAAGAACCTGCTCCTGGGTCCTGGCAAGCCCAAGGAGCCAGCCGTGGTGACAGCTGAGGTGGCCACTGTGACAGCAGCCACCATGGCCATGCCAGAGGTAAAGAAACGACGGCGGCGGAAGCAGAAGCTGGCATCTCCCCAGCCGTCCTATGCAGCGGACGCCAACGACAGCAAGGCCGAGTACTCAGACGTCCTCGCCAAGCTGGCCTTCCTGAATCGCCAGAGCCAGTGTGCTGGACGGTGCTCGCCACCCCGCTGCTGGACACCCAGCGAGCCCGAGTCAGTGCACCAGGCCCCCGACACCCAGAGCATCTCCCACTTCCTGCACCGTGTGCAGGGCTTCCGGCGGCGTGGGGGCAAAGCAGGCGGTTTTGGTGGCCGGGGTGGGGGCCATGCAGCCAAGGCAGCCCGATGCTCCTTCAGTGACTTCTTTGAGGGCATTGGCAAGAAAAAGAAGGTGGTGGCAGTGGCAGCTGCTGGGGTTGGGGCCCCTGGCCTCACCGAGTTGGGGCACCCACGCAAACGGGGCCGGGGGGAGGTGGACGCTGTGACTGGGAAGCCCAAGCGCAAGAGGCGGTCCCGGAAGAATGGGACTCTGTTCCCAGAGCAGGTGCCCAGTGGCCCAGGCTTTGGGGAGGTGGGCACCGAGTGGGCCGGGGACAAGGGTGGCGGCTGGGCCCCTCACCATGGGCACCCAGGCGGGCAAGCTGGCCGAAACTGTGGGTTCCAGGGGACTGAAGCCCGGGCCTTTGCCTCCGCTGGGCTGGAGAGCGGAGCCTCAGGCCGTGGCAGCTACTACGGCACAGGCGCACCCTCAGGCCAGACCGAGCTCAGCCAGGAACGCCAAAACCTCTTCACTGGCTATTTTCGCTCACTGCTTGATTCGGATGATTCCTCCGACCTCTTGGACTTTGCCCTCTCAGCCTCTCGCCCAGAGTCCCGGAAGGCATCGGGCACCTATGCGGGGCCTCCCACCAGTGCCCTGCCTGCCCAGCGGGGCCTGGCCACCTTTCCCAGCCGAGGAGCCAAGGCCAGCCCAGTGGCAGTGGGTAGCAGTGGGGCTGGGGCAGACCCCTCCTTCCAACCCGTCCTGCCCGCTCGCCAGACCTTCCCACCAGGACGGGCAGCGAGCTATGGGATAACTCCAGCAACTTCAGACTGCCGGGCGGCTGAGACCTTCCCAAAGCTGGCTCCCCCGCCTTCAGCTGTGGCCCGCTCACCTACAACCCACCCGCCCGCCAACACCTACCCTCCCCAGTATGGCGGCTACGGGGCTGGACAAAGCGTATTCGCCCCGGCTAAGCCCTTCACGGGCCAGGACTGTGCTAACAGCAAGGACTGCAGCTTCGCCTACGGCAGTGGCAGCAGCCTCCCTGCCTCACCCAGCAGTGCCCACAGCGCTGGCTACGCCCCACCGCCTACTGGGGCCCCCTGCCTGCCACCAAGCAAGGCCTCCTTCTTCAACAGTTCTGAGGGGGCCCCCTTCTCTGGTTCAGCCCCCACACCCCTGCGCTGTGACAGCCGGGCCAGCACTGTCTCGCCCGGTGGCTACATGGTGCCCAAGGGCACCACAGCCTCTGCCACCTCTGCAGCCTCTGCCGCCTCCTCCTCCTCCTCCTCCTTCCAGCCCTCGCCTGAGAACTGTCGGCAGTTTGCGGGGGCTTCTCAGTGGCCTTTCCGGCAGGGCTATGGAGGCCTGGACTGGGCCTCAGAGGCCTTTAGTCAGCTCTACAATCCCAATTTCGACTGCCACGTCAGCGAGCCCAACGTGATCCTGGACATCTCCAACTACACGCCACAGAAGGTGAAGCAGCAGACGGCCGTGTCCGAGACCTTCTCCGAGTCGTCCTCTGACAGCACCCAGTTCAATCAGCCAGTTGGTGGCGGCGGGTTCCGGCGTGCCAACAGCGAGGCCTCAAGCAGTGAGGGCCAGTCGAGCCTGTCCAGCCTGGAGAAACTGATGATGGACTGGAATGAGGCATCATCCGCCCCCGGCTACAACTGGAACCAGAGTGTCCTCTTCCAGAGCAGCTCCAAGCCGGGCCGTGGACGGCGGAAGAAGGTGGACCTGTTCGAGGCCTCACATCTGGGCTTCCCGACGTCTGCCTCGGCCGCTGCCTCAGGCTACCCGTCTAAACGGAGCACCGGGCCCCGGCAGCCACGGGGTGGACGGGGTGGTGGGGCCTGCTCAGCCAAGAAGGAGCGGGGTGGTGCAGCGGCCAAAGCCAAGTTCATCCCCAAGCCACAGCCAGTCAACCCGCTGTTCCAGGACAGTCCAGACCTCGGCCTGGACTACTACAGTGGGGACAGTAGCATGTCACCACTGCCCTCACAGTCGAGGGCCTTTGGCGTGGGAGAGCGAGACCCCTGTGACTTCATGGGACCCTATTCCATGAACCCATCCACGCCTTCTGATGGCACCTTCGGCCAAGGCTTCCACTGCGACTCGCCCAGCCTGGGTGCTCCCGAGCTCGACAGCAAGCATTTCCCGCCGCTGGCCCACCCGCCCACGGTGTTTGATGCTGGCCTGCAGAAGGCGTACTCACCCACCTGCTCGCCCACACTGGGCTTCAAGGAAGAGCTGCGGCCGCCGCCCACAAAGCTGGCTGCCTGCGAGCCCCTCAAGCATGGGCTCCAGGGAGCCAGCCTGGGCCACGCAGCTGCAGCCCAGGCCCACCTGAGCTGCCGGGACTTGCCTCTGGGCCAGCCCCACTACGACTCCCCCAGCTGCAAGGGCACAGCTTACTGGTACCCACCAGGCTCAGCTGCCCGCAGCCCACCCTACGAAGGCAAGGTGGGTGCTGGGCTGCTGGCTGACTTCCTGGGCAGGACGGAGGCCGCGTGCCTCAGTGCCCCCCACCTGGCTAGCCCACCGGCCACGCCCAAGGCTGACAAGGAGCCACTGGAGATGGCCCGGCCACCTGGCCCACCCCGTGGCCCTGCTGCAGCTGCTGCTGGCTATGGCTGCCCACTCCTTAGTGACTTGACCCTGTCCCCCGTGCCGAGGGACTCGCTGCTGCCCCTGCAGGACACCGCCTACAGGTATCCAGGCTTTATGCCACAGGCGCATCCCGGCCTGGGTGGGGGCCCCAAGAGCGGCTTCCTGGGGCCCATGGCGGAACCTCACCCTGAGGACACATTCACCGTCACCTCCCTGTAGTGCCAACTGAAGTGCCGACTGGACCGCGAGGTTTTGTTCCTGGGTGAGTCTGGGGTGTGGGCGCAGGGAACAGAGGCCTGGGGTCGGGGACGAGGACATTAGAGCTTAGGCAAGGGGAAGAGGTACAGAGAGGAACAGGAGCATGTGCAGGATTTAAGGATAAGATGGGGGACAGGGAGTAGGGATTTGGGATTAGGTGTTATGGACAGTCTTGGTACAGGGAGATGGGGTGCTTAGAAATTCAGGGGGTCCTGTTAATTGAAGTGGCCAGAGGACTATAGACTAGATGGGCCCCCCTAATTTGGTTTGTCAAACACTTATTTCCCTTATTCATGCTAGATCTTGGGCAGTGAGAGAACTTCCCAAGAAGGATGGGCCTTTGCATCGCCCTGTATGGGACAGGTGAGGGGCGAGCAGGTTGGACGGTCCCCTACCCAGGGCCTATCCCAGGGACTAGCCCCGCTGGGCACCCTCCTTTCCCTGGGAGCTTCATTTATTCCAAGATGCAGCCTGGCCAGGGCCAAGCCAAGACTGGCCAGTGTGACTTGGTCACACGTTCTGCAAAGGCCTTACAGAATGGCCCGAAGTGTCCTCTCTTGGCCTCCGTGGGTACCCCCAAAGGCCATTTTTCAACATCTTTGGCCTGAGGGGCTCAGTGTGGCCAGGAACATGTGGGGTTGGGATCCCAGTGTCCCTGGGAAGCTGCATCCAGTGAGTCTCTCCCCAGGCAGGATGTTTTGACCCTAGAAAAGCCAGTCCCTTTCCTGAAGCCAAATGCTTTCCCCAGAGTTCAGTTAAATATCGTTAGACATTTAGATTCTGGTTTTGTCAGGCATTGTGACCTCATTAGTTAGAGTCAGTTTTCGAATTCCGAAGATTTAGTGTTTTTAAAAAGGATAATAAAAGACAGAAAATGCCCCCAAAGTGGTAAAAGAGAACAGGATTGAAGGAATCATCTTGAAGAACAAGCTGCTCCAGAAATACAGTCACAACCACCCCACTTTTGGAAAACGAATCTATTGCAAAACTGGCCCAGACACAGTAATAGGTGGTAGGGTGGCCTGGGGGCATGTCTGAGCCCCTCACCCTTCACCTCTGTTGCCAGAAGCCTCCTGGGAGTTTCTCTTCCTGGAGAGGGAACAGTAGGGGCTCCTGGAAAGCCCCATCCCTGCTCTGCAGAGGCCATCCACGGCCAGGGTGACTCAGGGTCCTGAAGTCATGTCAGTGGAAACTTATTACCCGCTCTCCAGACCCCTGGTGCCTGAGGGTGGACAAGGACGGCACACAGGAGTCAGGAGGCCTAGGGGAGAACCATTCCCTGATTGGCCACCAACTTGCTACATGGCCTCGACTAAGCTTTTGCCCCTCTCTGGGCCTCTGTTTCCCCATCTGTTCAAGGAAATTGACTTTGGTAATCTCTTAGGCTCTTGCAACTCGGCATGACATAGACGATGGACCAAACTTTTTTTGTTTTGTTTTGTTTTTGGCAGCATATTTTCCTTCCTAATGAAGCCAGGCCAAGATTAAAATGGCCCCCCATTCCCTGTGTGTCTCACTGCACAGCAGAGCCACAGATCTGAAGCAGGCCAGGGAGAGGCTACTTAGGGTTTAAAATGTCAAACTCTTGATCCTTCTCAGTGGAGGGGAGATGTCTCCTGGATAATCCAGAAATGCGAAATAATCTAAAAAACCATTCCTCCCAGGTTCTGGGTGGGAAAATGGATGGGCGTGGGGGCTGGGTGTTTGGGCAGGTCACAGCTCAGTGAAATACATAATGGAACCACCCAGTGAGGCCTGAACGCAGGAGGAACTGGGATGCCATCCAGCCCCACATTCTGGCCCCGCTCCCCACTCAGGGCTGGAAGTTAACAGCACTATCCTCAGACCAATGCATTCAGTGGTTCCAGAGACATCTGTCCAGCACCTCCTATGTGCCAGGCTTTGGTGGCACCATAGTGAACACCACAAATGAGGTACTGGTCCTCAGGGGGCTTCCAGTTTAGAGGCAAAGACAGTAAACAGAATGACAAAGCATTTGCTAATTACAGCCATGAGAAAAGAGCCAGGAGCCAGTGAGAGCCTGCAGCAGGCTGACCTGCCCCTGAGGCTGGTGCCTGAGGGATGAGGGGGCTAGAGAGCTAGGCAGGGGGTGGGAAGAATATTCTGGGCAGAGGGAGCAGCAGTGTGTAAAGCCTGAGGCAGGAAGGGGCTGAGCTTTGAGGAACCAATGGGAGGCAGGACAGCTAAGCGAGGAGCGAGGCAGGCAGGGCTAGATCATGTGGGCATTGGAAAGAGTTTGAACTTTGTTCCCAGACAAACAGGGAACCACTGAAGGGTTCTGAGCTGGAATGCCATGGGTCACCATGAGCAGGGCAAGCATTGAGGTGAGGAGACCAGCTGCAGTCGTCCAGACAAGCAATGGTGGTGGCCCGGACCACCTCCCCTCTCTGTCTAAGATGGCACACGAGCTTCCTCATCTAGGATAACCCTCCAGTGCCAGGGAATAATCAAAATCATCATGGGGGTGAGAACAAGTTGGGGATATAGGGAAGGAGAGTGGCAAGGAAGAAGAGTTAATAGAGACAGTCACATTGTCAACAGAGGACTTGAGCAGAGAGGACAGTGACACACTCGTTCACCAACAGGCAGTGAGCAGATTTGATGCTGGGCACCGCAGAAATGGTAATTCAGCTCAGCCTCCCATCTCGAACCCTCCATGCCCATCCAATGCCAGGCGCTGGGGAGACAAAGCAGACATGGCGCTTGTCCTCAAGGTCAGCATGCACTGCAGGAAGTTAAAACAAGTACACAAAGAACCTGAAAACACCTGGTAGAAAGTGGCAAGTGCACAGAAACAAAGATTGTGTACCAGGCAGCTGGGTGTTGTGGTCAGATGTCATCCCTCTGCCCCCTTGGTGAGAAAAGGGACACATCTGTGCTGGGTCCTTTGTGTGACACTGCCTCACTGACCCTTCACAGCAGCCTGCAAGGTGGGTGGGCCCCCCCCACCCCCATCCGAGAGTTGGGGAAATGGGTACAGCTATGAACCTTGCCCAGGGCATCTGTAGTTAGTAAACGATGGGGCCAGGATTGGTCTCCTCCAGAGCCTGGGTGCTCTGTCATAGGGCTGTCTCTGTCCACTCCATGCTCCTGATTCCCCATCTGCAAAACGACAGGTTGGATTGGACAATCCCTACAATGCTTTCTGGGACTGACATTTTAAATGGATTTTAAGGTTCTGTGGAAGAAGCTACACTTGAGCTCGACCTTGAAGAATAGGCAAAATTTGGTCACACAGAGACCGGGGGATGGACATTCCAGGCAGAGGGAACTGTGGGCAAGGGCAGGACATATCCCCGTGTGAATTAGATGAAAGCTCAGAGGAGACAGTGGGGAAGGTGGGAGCTGACTAATCTGAGAGTTGTGGCTGACAGGACAGGAAAGAGAACAGATCAAGAAAGGGGGGGCCTTGGGCCCAGGCAGACACCTCCTCTGGTCCTCTAGGTGGAAAGTAAAGCCAGACAGACTGGCTCCACGTTGGGCCTGTGGGCTAAAGATCAGTCCTACCAGATCCTTGGGGACAGGGGTGGGAGGGAGGTGGAGTCCTCCAAGGTGTTCAGGAATCTCCAGTCCCTCTCCCCTCCCTGCTTCTCTCAGGCCTGACCTGAGGCCAAGAGAAATGTCACAGGTCCTCCAAGGTTACACCAGCTGGGGCCTGACCAGAGCAGGAAGCAATTTCCAAGGCCACCATCCAGCTGGGGTCAGCAGGCATGCCCAGGCCTGGGCCCGGCCCGGCTGCTCTGGGCTTTGTCTCTTCGTGTCTTGAAACCTCAAGAGGTCACTTGATCTTGCCTTTGGCTCTGAGCAAGAGGTTTCACATCAGGGCTCAGCCAGTCCCACCCTGCCTCTTCTGGGTGCACGCTCTTCTCCACTCTCTGAGGCCATCCTCCCTATCTCTTGCCTCTCCTGCGGCCGTGTTCACGCCAGGCCTTCTTGTTCTGAGCCTTCATTTCCTGTAAATGTAATCTCTCCGTGAACGTGCCCTCACATTCTTCTCCCATCTCCCCACACGTCCTGGAGCAGGGCCCCAGAACTGGCGAGGAGCCTGCCTGTGGATGCACACAGGCCTCCATGCACAACCTGGTTCCATCCCCTACCAGCTAGGTGACCCGGTGAGTCATGTCACCTGGTGAGTCACATCACCTCTCTGCATCTCTTGAGAGACTTAAATGAGATTACGTGTGAAGCCCTCAGCCCAGTCTCTGGCACACAGTAAGCACGTAATCGGTGGCTGGTGATGGGTGGATAAATGCTTCCCCACTGACTGAATTCCGGGGCCTCTGACCCAGTCTGCGTGAGTCGTGTTGAGTCACACACCTCCGACCCTCGCCTCACGTGCCTTTGCTCGGAACCACATAGCCAGCCCTCCCTCCCCTGCTTCCCTCCTAGGAAGGCTCATGTATTCTGCTACAGGTTTGGGGCCTTCGAAGGAGACTTTGAAATACCACCTAGTTCTTTGCCAGAAACAAGATAAGTCATATGCCCCGTCCCAAGGGACCGGACACAGACTCAAGAATGACCTGTGTCAGCAAGGAACTCTGTCCACGTAGTTACCCATGCCAATCCTCTCCCCCACTGCAGATAATCTGAAAGATACTTTCTGTGACCGGTATGTTGTGATTTTTTTCCCCTGACATATTTGCCGTCTTTGTCAGCATAACCTTTGCTGCCATAGTGCCCTGTATTTGTGCCAGAGGTCACAGAAAGTAGGTTAATTCTGTGCTCAGGCCAGGCATTACATCCAATGCCGAGGGTGCCACTGAACCCGGCAGGCAGTGCCCTGCCCTCCTGGGGCTTGCAGCCTGTATGCAAGTGTTGGTTCGAAACCGTCACATGGGCTTCACTCTCCAGAGGAGGGACGGGGACACTCCCATGAGAATGATCAGGGACCACCTTCTTGCACCCTGTGACCAAGGCAGGCAGCAGGACCTTCCTGGAGGTGGAAATAGGTCTTGACAAATTTGAGACTTCAGAGGCTGTGGCCCTAGCCCAGCCACCTGGGTTTCTGGCCCAACCCCGACTTGAGTCCATTCTCCCCATTATGGCCGCCAAAGTGCTTGATTTTCAGCATTTTTAGATGCATGGTATCTGGAGCCCCTAAAATATTTATTGGAGGAATTGATTAAAACACATCTGCTCCTGTGACTCAGTTGCGTAACGCCTTTTGATCGCATCCTTCCCTCTCCAGCCTCCTTGCCTGCAAACTAAAGCCCACCTCCCCAGCATGGTATTCAAGGTATTTGAGGCTTCTGTCCTGACACCCTGCCTTTTTCAAACCCAACCTCTCTTACCAGCCCGGAGAAGGTGTCAGTTCAGGAGGGCACTCTCAGGGGAGCTCTCTCCTGAATGAGCCCTGTGTTTTTGCTGTTCCCTGGCCTTGGTGGCCCTTTCCTACCCACCATTGCCTCCCACCTGTCTGTTCCTGTCTTTCACTCAGACATCACCTCCTCCAAGAAGCGTTCCAGGATCCTTCCCAGGCCCAGTTAATCTCAGCCCTGTATGCATCCATGACAGCCCTTCCCGGGAATGTCCTCACCATGCCATCAACCCCTTTAGGCCGGTTACTCATCTCTGTGCACCATCCTCCCCTCCCCACCCCAGTGCCTCATCCTGCCCTGGACAGTTCAGGTCTCTTTTTTTTTTTTTTAACTTGAGTAGAAGAAAAGCATGTAGAATAGGGACAGTTGTAAGAGGAAAGGTTAAGTGCTGTGGGGTGTGGGACAGTTTCACCCCCTGTCATCAGGAAATGCTCCTGAAAGTGGGGCAGGAACAGGGTGTGTAAATAAACCAATTCAAACTCTCAGAGCTAACTGGGCTTCTGGAGTTCTCCAAGGACAGCACCTCCCGGAGAGGGACAGGGACTTGCCTGAGGACTCAGCAGCCCAACCATTGACACACAGAAAGGTAGCGCCAAGAAAGGCGCTTGGGGGTCGCCTACCATAGCTCCACGGTCTCCAGCCCGAGGGTGGAGACTGTGCGAGATGGAGGGGGTGGGTCTAGCCTCCTCCCCAGACAGGCAAGGAATGTGAGGCCACACGGGGCTGGCGGGTGACCATGGATGTGAACCCTGGTGGTCCTGCCAAGCAGTGGGGAGGCAGGGGAAGCGCCCTGGGGAGGGAGTGGCTGGCAGAGCTAGTGTTTAGGGGACGCCTCTGGTCAGTAGTGGACTCAGATTTTGAAAAACTTCTCTGGAGTAGGGGGAGAGTCACCCACAACCCCCCCACCCCCATCCCCAGCTGGGAGCCTCATTGATACTTCAGTAAACTCCAGGTCCACCCTATCTGACCAGATTTCTGCATATCAGATGTGGTCTGAGTGCCCAGGAAGCAGTATCCTGTCCACATCCCGGTGGCTCACAGGCCTGACTGCCTGAAAATGTTTGAAGGGTGGATCAGCCTTTGGGCAGCCGTGATTTGTCACTGGCCCCTTGTCTTTGGGACACCATCTGGGGCACCATCTCAGTGCCCAAACATCTCTCCCATCACCTGTTCAACCCTCTTATTTTACAGACTAGGAACTGAAGTCCAGAGAGGGAAGGGACTTGCTCTAGGTCACACAGCAAATCAGTCTCTCAAATTCTGATGAACTCTCTTTGCCTTCTGCTCTACTTCCTTATCTGACATTGAGACCCTCCTCTGGAGGGCGGAGACTGGAGAGTGGAGGTTAGACCTTCACTCATGCCCTGGCAGTTAGTGGGTGTGAATACACATTTGCTTGTTGCTTAAATAGACGCACAATGTGTGTGCTCCTTTTCGGGGGAGAGCAGCTTTCTGGACAACCTGATTTATATATGATCTGCAGCACTGCGACTCTCTGCTCGGCTGTCCCTTTCAGTGCTGCCAATGCCAGCCCCCACTGACAGGCAGGGACCACTTAATGCCCTGGCACCTCAGATGGTAAAACTGCTGGAGCGTGAGGTCTCAGTGCAGTGAGACTGTGCAGTTGCTCGTCACCGAGGCACTGAAGGTGAAGTCTTAGGAACGGTGGTTGGTGTCCTGGGGGCCAGGTCCATGCTGCCACTGGAGGAGCAGAGGTACCACCTACAGGTCTCTGCCCTGGAAGAGCAGGGTAGGGAATGGCCAGGGCACCGCAGCTATGGTAACAGGGCAGTCTTAGGAGGCGTGCAAGACCTGAGCTGGACCGGACTTAGATCAGTCGTCACTCTGTCGTTCAGTCAGCACACGTTCTTGAGCCCAGCATGTGCCGGGCGCTGTGCTCAGGAGTGAGCCACGGTCCTCCTGCCAAAACCGGGTTAGTTGCCCCCCAGGACTTCCCTTGACACAGCCCCCCATCCCTTTGCGTGGTAATTGCCTGGTTTGGGGTCTGCTTTGCTTCCGCCTCTGCTCTGTGAGCCTCTCAAGGGCAGGGACCAGATCTGTCTTGGTGTCTGCTTTGTCCCCAGTGCCCCACACCGCGTTGCCTGGCACATGAACGTTTGGTTCTGTTTTGTGGAGTGTTGAACTAGTGAGGTCAGGGTTGTACACAGCCACAGCGTTCTCCCTTCTTACCCCCTCCCCAAGAACCCCTGGGCTTTGATTCCCCCTCCCCCACTCCCTACCATCCCCCAGAGTCTGCCGAAGTCTCTGGCTGGCCACGTCCTGAGAGCTGGGGAGGGCGGAGGGCAGTGGGAGGAGGAAGGTGAGAGGCGATGGGCGGCTTAGCAGAGGGTGAGAAAGCCTCCTGCTGCCTGGCCGCAGGCACCACGGGAATGGTTCTGGCAGGAGTAGCCTGCTGGGCTGAGATCACCATGGAGACCTGGCTTGGAGAGGGTCACCGGCAGTGGCTAAGGGCTGGGGGGGGCGGTGGGCGGCAGCAGGGATTTGTGCAGAGGCTCCCAGCCTGCCCCGGGCCCTTGGAGGGAGCAGGGAAGGCTGGGGTTCAGCGCCATCAGCTTGCCAAGTGGTTTGGAGCAGCCCATCTTAAATCTCCCCGTCACGTGTCACCGCAACACTTTCACCCCAGCAGAGGTTCTTTAGCTTGGCAACTGTTCTTCTACCACAGTAAAGCTGTCCTCTGGATAGGTGCCCCCAGCCCTCCCGCTCCACCAGTCACCCCAGATACCATAGTCCTGCGCCTAATAGACACCCCTCTTACCTCTGCAGCTTAACTGTTTACCACCTAGCTGTGGAGGGCCAACACCCACCCCAACAGCACCCCTGTCCCAAAAGCTGCCTTCTCCCTGTTGCCCCAGTGGCAATACAGCTGTCGCCCTCCCAGGCACACCGCTTACCCCTGCGGCTAATGTGCCGTCCTCTCCGCAACTGCAGGAGCCCTGACAGCTTAACAAAGATGCAGCTCTTGCCCTCCCTCTCGTGCCTCTGCCTGCCACCTGGTCTGATACACCCAGGTGGGGTGCTGCCCGTGCCTCTGCGGGAGCCCACCTGGTTCCTCTGGCCCTTGGGGGAGTCCTGGCAAGTCCAGCCTCAGGACAAAAGTCCCCGGGGCTGACTGCCCAGCAGACAGCAGCCAAGGCTGAGCAGAATTTAAATGTGGTCCTGTTGGAAAGGGAAGCCAAGAAAGTACAAGGGAGGAAAGGCTTTCTGTCGCCGCCTGGTTCATGTCGGTGTGGGGGAGGATGGATGGGCTTGCTGAGGAGTCTTAGGAGGCGGTTTTAGCACACTCGCCCCTACCCCTTAATTCTGGTGGACATGGTCACACACCATGTGGGGGATGTGCATGTCGGGGCTCTGAGGGGAGGACAGAACTCCAAAAAGACTAGGTTTATGGCTGGAGGTCTTGGGAGTGCCCAAGCCCAGCCCTGTCCTCTGGATACTTCCTTGTTCATTTCAGCAGAGCTGGGAAGCCAGGTGGTCTAGCCGAGCTGGGGGTCTGGGTAGGGAAGTCAGGTCCATGGGGCCCCTCCTTTCCTGTCTAGGAAAAGGAGGTACTTCCGGCCTCGAGTGTCTGGCCATCGTAGGGACTGGGGACTTGAGAGTCTCTGAGCTTCAGCAAGGCAGGGTTCAGCCAAACACAGATGGCATTGTGTTGGGCAGTTTCTCTAGTCCTTCATTCGGACAGACTTCCTCATCACCTCACTTCTCTGAAGAAGAGAATGGCATTGGTGGGGACTGGAAAGAGGGCTGGACTTAGAAGAAATGAAAGTAGTGGCTCACACCTGTGCTGTGGCCCTGCCTTCCTCATTGTGCCATCGCTTGGAACAGCCTAGGTTGGAGGAGCTAGTAAACTCATTGTGCATGAGGAAACAGGTTTGGAGAGCCCAGCTGGCACAAGGAAAATAATAACAAATAGTAATTAGTATCATTTATTATGCACTTATGTATCAGGCTTCATCTACCTTAAACCACTGAATCCTCTCAACCAACCCGTGGGGTAGTTCTGTTATCCCCTTTGTGCAGATGAGTAAACTGAGGCTCACAGAAGTTCAGTGACTTCCCAAGGTCATAGAGCTATTAAGTGATGGTGCTGGTATTTGAACTCAGCTGCGTCTGACTCCAGAGCCCCAGCTCTTAACAAATCCCACTGCCTGGAACCCAGACTCCTTACCCAGCGCCGCCTCCACCTCTTAGTGTGGGTCTTGAACATGCCTGTTTTACAGATGGGGAAACTGAGCTAAGAGAGAGTCAGAAGCAGTCCCACAGACCAAATTTTCTAGGCGAAAGAATAATGCAGTTAGTGTCTCCCAGAATCCTGGTGGGAATTAGGTGGGGGGGGTCTCCCTCTTGCCCCCCCCATCTCAGAGCTCAGAGTGTGTTCCTGCAGCTGACCTCTGCCTCTTCTCTTGTGTTTCTTTGCAGCTTTCAGAAAACCAACGCCAAGACCCCTCCCCGCGTCCACATCGTCCTCTGGCAGGAGCGCCTGCCCCTCTGTCTGCCACCCTGCCCCTCTGCACCCCCCACAGCCCCATCTCCCCCTACCCCTTCTTGCCCATCTCCTCCACGCAGAAGCCGAAGGTGAGCCCTTTCTGCACAAAACCAGCAATTGTAAATACTTTTTAAAAATGTACAAAACTTAAAAACAAAACACAGTTTTAGAAAAAGACAAAAAAAAGAGAGAGCGAGCGAGAGAGCGAGAGCGTGTGCAAGAGATTGCGAGCGGGGCCCCGAGGTGTCCAGAGCCCCTGCAAGTATGCACTGAGAAATTTATCTACAGGTCGTTTGACAAAAATGAACAATATCCTATTTATTGTATATACTGTTTTATTATAAATCGTGGATTGTATATTGCATTCTGTAAACCTGCTGTGGTCCCGTGGTGTGCAAATTCGCATGGTGGGGGGGAGGGAGAAGAACCTCTTGCGGGAGCTTTTTTTTTTTTTCTTTCTTTCTTATTTTTCACTCTTTTGGGTTTTCTCTTCTGTTGTTGTTGTTGTTGTTTTCTGTTGGCAGGACACACCCAAAGATCCAAGTTTGTATTAAAAAGAAATGAAAAAAAGCAAAAAAAAAAAAAAAAAAACCAACCTCGTGTCTTGTGAAAGGGGGGTGAGTGAGGGTGGATGGAATGGAAGGGACAGGGCTGGGTTTTGTCGCCAGCCACTGGTTCCTCAAAGGAGTCGCAATACGTACGTGTGTTCGCCGCCACTAAGTTCTCCCTCCTGCCTGAGATCTGGGACACACACCCGCACTCCACCTCGGACCCTGCGCCTCCCCTGCCTCTGCTGAACTCCCCACCCTGCTCCCGAAGACTTCCTGGCCCCTTGGTCCCTGCATTCTGTCCCAGGTCCAGGGATTCTGCCTCTTGGACCTTCACTTTGCCCTAGATCCTGGGTCTCTCTGACTCCGAGACTCCCGCCATCTGTCCCAAGTTCCAGGTCTCCCTTTTCTCTGAGCCCTTTTTTATATCCCCAAATCCTGCGTTTCCTGTCCATTATACACCAGTCTTGGGTCTCCTGCTCCTGGACTCCCTCATTCCATCCCAGGTCCCAGGTCTCTGCCTTCAGTCCCTTCTTGTGTCCTATGTCTCCCCGGCCTTTGGGCCCCACAGTTCTTCCCCGGTTCGGGGACATCTCTCTTCGCAACGCTCATTCCAGAACCCTTGCAGGACACCCCCCAACTTTCCACTAGGGTGGGAGTGTCCCCTGTTTGCGTGTCTCCTATTCGCCCCGGGTCCTGGGTCTGCTCTGCCTCCAGGCCCCCCATTTTACCCCGGCACACTCACATCTGCTTCTGCAGAACCCATGGTGTGACCAGGCCAGTCGCCCCAATGCTTCTTTGCCCATCTCTTTCCTTCTGCTCTGAACCCCAAGTGCTGGGTCTGTATTTCCTTCCAGCTTTGGCAAACTTTGAAAAGAAAACCCCTGATCTGCCGCCTATTTCTGGTGGGCCTAGAAGAGCAAAGCTGTTTCCCCCTCCCTGACTTTGGGGTGCTCTTGGCTGCTCTCACCCAAATAATGCCCACTGTGGCCCCCCTGGTCTTTAGGAAGCAGTTGTTCCCATAGACCCATTTTATATTAAAGCTCTGCTGAGTGTGGCTTCTCAGTGTCCGTCCTCAGCGAAGCTCGGGGAGACACTAAGGGATGGCTCCACATGGCCTGCCCTTGCCAACCAGCAAGGCCCAGGACTTAGGAGAGTCAGAGGGGAAACACACCCCCACCTCTGAGCTCCCCTGTCTGAAAGAAGAGGCAGGAGGACTCAGGTCACAATCCCCTAAAATTGTAGCCTCTGTGCTGGCTGTGAAGGCTCATCCACCCACCAAGTGCCCTCCTTGTGTCCCCAAGACTGAGATGAAGACAGCATCCTCCTCTTCCTGTTGCCGAGAGGGAAAACATCAACACTACACTCAAGCCCACAATCCAGTATGGAGCTGGGATTGGGGTCAGGAAGCAGTAGGACCCCCTGAGGGTCAGGGGCCTGGCTAGAGTGCTAGGCAGAAGAGTGAGGGAGTTCTCGGAGGAGGAAAGAGCATGTGCAAAGGCCCAGAGGTGAGAGAGAGTGGCAGGAGGTAAAAGTCACACACAGTTCAGTCTGTTCAGAATAGACTGTGTGTTTAAGGATGGAAGAGGGCTTTGGCAAGGTCACTGTGGAGCAGGGTGGAGGCTGGTTGGAGGGGTGGGTGGCATCAGAGAAGCCAGTGGGTGAGGCTGGAATCCGCCAACCCAAGAGAAGCCGCTTTCAGCCCCAAGAATCGCCTGCAGGGAGAAAATGAGTGTGTTCAGCGACTGCTGAGGAAGCAGAAGAGACGTGGGCAGACTGTCCAGGTGGGGCGGGCTGGGCGCCTTGGCTGTGAGGGAATCAGGGTGGGGCCTGGGAAGGCGGGCTGAGGGCCCAGAGGAGGTTTCGGTGAGGGGCAGGAGCGTGGCTCACCATGAGATGGTCCTGAGAGGAGGAGGAAGGGCAGTGAAGGGCTGTGGGCCCCAGGGCTCAGGAATTGGGGTGGGAAAAGGAGACCCAGGAAGGAAATGGGAGTTTAGGGAGGGCGATGGGAACCCAGGGAAGGGATGGGAGAGAGGCTTGGTGAGGAGAAAGGGACTCCATGAGAAGTGCAGGGAGCAGCCTCCGCCTAAGGTCTGCTGCTTAGTAAGGGGTGAGGAGGGCCAAGTTGTATTTTGGAGACCAAACTGAGGAGGGCTGCCAGGGCATTTGGGATGCAAGGTTCTTTGTGCTCTTGGGCCTCTGAGAAAGGGCAGCAGAGATCCTGCCCGGTATATAGGGCTGGATTGTGGGTCACCTCGTTTGGATCTGTTCTTTTCAGGGGTTGGGGCCCCACCACAGCCACAATGCCACACCGATCCCAGAATGCAGAGGCAATGTGGCTACTAGAAACTTTGGTTTTGCCACCATTTATTAAACACTTCCCTGAGGAGTTTATTCTTCAAAACAATCCTCGAGGTAGACAAAGATACTTATTTCATTTACAGATGAGAATACAGGTTCACAGACATGGAGAGAGTGACTTGTCCAAGATTACGTGGGAAGTAGCAGAAGTAGGTTGGCCCAGACTCCAAGCCCTTGCTTTTTCATAACAGTTTTTGTTAGGTTTTTTTTTTTTGTTTTTTTGTTTGTTTGTTTGTTTGAGACCGGGTCCTGCTCTGCACCGTGGCTAGAGTGCAGTGGCATCGTCATAGCTCACTGCAGCCTCCAACTCCTGGGCTCAAGTAATCTTCCTGCCTCAGCCTCCCAAGTAGCTGGGACTACAGGTACATGCCATCATGCCTGGCTATTTTGTGTGTGTGTATGTGTGTGTGCGTGTGTAGAAATGGGGTCTTGCTATTGCCCGGGCTGGTCTCAAACTACTGGGCTCAAGTGATCCTCCTGCCTCAGCCCCCCAAAGTTCTAGAATTACAGGGATGAGCCACTGTGCCCGGCCTCATAACAGTTTTAGGGGGAAAAAATTTGCTTATAATATCCAAAAATTAAGCCATCCAATTTAAAAAATTATAAATGATAGAAATAATAGCAAAAAATCATAGCACTTAATATATACCGGCTGTTCTAAACACTTTGCCTGTATATGAACTCATTCGATCTCAGTAACAATCCTACGAGGCTTCATCCTAATGACTAGTATCCCCATTTTACAGACGGGAAACTCAAGTGCAGAGAGGTAATTTACAAAGACCACTCAGTGCATAAGCGTAAGCGGTGACACCAGAGCCCAACGAAGCACGCTGGTTCAGGCGTCTCTCTACTCCCATCCCTGCTAATAACTCCCGGGTCAACATTTTCAAGTCTTTTCATCTAGATCAGGGATTCTAGACCCCAGAAAGCAATCGCCTGGAGAGCTTCAAAATACTGATGCCTGAGTCCTACCCCAAGAGATTCTGATTTTATTGGTCTGGGGTGGGGCTGGGCGTCAGGATTTTTAAAAGCTCCTCAGGTGGTTCTAATGTGCAGCCGAAGTGGAGAACCTCTAATTTAGCGATTGTGCTGTTTGCACACCTGTATTTACTGTGCCGTCCTAGGTGTGCATATGATGCCTTCTTGTGTGTGTACACTGTGGTATTAGTGTTTTTCACTCCAAGTGGCTATAAATTACTATGGGTTCTCTGAGAGACCCTGAGTGAACACATTCATTCAGATATTTCTTAAGCACCTACAAGTTTCCACTGTCCCAGGCACTTGGGGATGCAACAGTGAACACGGCAGTCAGATCCCCACCTTTGCGTGTATAGTCAGATGCAACCGACAGATTGGTCACGTGTCTTCCCTGTGAGTGGCAGGGGTCTGGAACCCCCTGGGGGTTGCTTAGGAGGGAATGAGGGTTGACTGGCAGAGTTTAGGACAGTGAGAGGTTTGCTGGTGTGGCTGTACATACTGGGTCTTCAAGCCCTGCGTGTGGATGTGATTGAGAGAGGGAGGCCCAGGGCATGTTTCTGGATTTGAATGAGTGTGGCTGACCATGTGGCATGTGTGTAAAGGTGTGCATGATCCAGGCCTGTGAAATGTGGACAACAGTGGGAGGAAGGGGTGTTGTGATGGGGGAGGGCTGTGTGCAAGGTAGGCACCAGCCCAAAACATCACACAGATGTGGCACATGCACTCACACACATACACACACACAGGGCCAGCTGTGAGGAGGCTGCGTTCCAGTCCCAGGGCCAGGAAAACTGTGCTGTGGGTATGTGGGGGAGGCACAGCTGGGGCTGGAAACTCTAGAGTGGGAGGCAGGGAGAGAGGAAGGGAGGCTGGGGAGCCACATCCTTGATCTCTGTTCTGTTTCAGCAGTTCCGGACTTGGTGCTCTGGGTCTTGGTGTGACTGAGCCTCCCTTTCTCTAATGTCCGGATCTTGGCATCTCTATTTCTCTCTTCTGGGTCTTGGGCTTGGAAGCTGATCACATGACTCTGGATCTCCACCTCTCCAGCCTACTTGGCTCTGTATCTCCCTCCATGTCTCTGTCTCTGCCTCCATGTCTGCCTCTGTCTCAGTGTCCTTCTCTGTCCTTGCCAGGTGGGGGGAGGGGGCCCAGTGCTCAGGGAGCAGGTGTCGGCTCACTCAGGCAGCAGGGAGTGAAGCCGAGGAGGGCAAAGAGCCAGCAGCCCTTGGACACACAGCCACTCTCCAGGAGACACAGGGCACTCGCAGGGACACAAAATGACATA